GAGGAAACTTCCCCACCTCAGCCTCACCCCCACTCCCCTAAGGACTCCAGAAGCAGTAGGGCCTGCACTCACCGGTAAGTAGAGCGACCTGGCCCCAGCTGCTCCACTCCCCTGGCTCCCAGCTGTGCCGCCAGCGAGTGCTAGGGGGTGGTTCCCCCCTCCCCCCAAGCCTGGGAGCCAGGGGAGCAGAGCAGGCTGGGGCCGGGTCACTCAACTTCCCGCAGGAAGTGGCCAGCCCCCCTCCCCGCCCCGCGGAGGCCTGGGGCCAGTCCCCCTTCCCCCCCGCACTCCCCCGCGGAGGCTTGGGGCTGCATAGGGCACCAAAATAGCTAGGGTCGCCCCTGGTCTGCCTACTCATAGACCCATTGGCAATACCTCGAATCTACCCCCCATCTCTTCCACCAGTTTAGGCAAGTGCTATTGCTAGTTCTGTTGATCTGAATGTATAGGAGTTAAATCTTGAGGAAGTGCTTGTCAGCTGTGGTCCAGTATTTTAGATGCTGGGCTTATCACCAGTAAGGACTGTTCCCTTCCCAAATGTGTCAGACTACAGATTGTTCTTAGTTGTAGCTGCTTCCTGCACAAGCAAATAAAATATTACATGGTGGGAAAACACTAAAATCTATTGGAACTATTTGCACAGGTAAGGATTACTTTGAGGTGTACGTGTTGGAGGATCAAGCTCCATCCTGCTAGGACCTGATCCAGATAGAATGAACCTTTAGAACTGAAGGACTACAGAAGCTACAGAGGTTTTGCTAAGTATCTCCTCTCTAGCAGCTGCAGAATTAGACATTCAGTGACTATTTGCCTAAAATTTTTATACAACTATTTGCACTCTGAATTAAAACTTGAACATGAAAATAATGGGGGAGGATGAAAGCCAATTAATTCACAAGATTTAATTCACAAGTCACTAATTCACGGCCTACACAGCGTTATACCTATGAATCACTGTAGAGTGGATTAATTAAAAACCTCTTTCCATTGATTTAAGTGTGTGCAGTGTACTGGTACAAAACAAGATGTTTTCATTTACAGTCCAAGGTTGTGTGTGTGTGTGTATGTGTGTGTATATATATATAAGGGCAAGATTTATAAAGGTATTGAGGTGCCTAAAGTTGCAGATTGAATATCCACCTATCTGCAGCTGTAGGCACCTAAATACCTTTATAAATCTGGCCTTAGAACTCAGTGGTTGTTACATTAACCTTTTCCTCCTGATATTTCCCATGTTTGTAGATCCGTGTTGGTCGCAATGGTGGGAATACTAATGTAGATCAGCTTTGTTTGTTTCCCATTGTAAAATGGGGATGATAATACTTATCTCACGGGTGTATTAATGCTTATGAAATGTTCCTAGATCCTCAGAGGGTAGGGCCCCAGATTTATCCCCAGATGTTTCTTGGCCCTGAATAACCCATACACACACTCGCACACAGACTGTCTGAGAAAACAGTGAGTGAGAGAGAGAGAGAGAATGTTAAATAGATGGCGTGCAACCAAACAGACTATCAAACCAGTAACAGTCATATTTCATATCAAAGCCAGTCCAGCAACCCTTACTCATGAGTAGTCAAGCAAAACAGGAACTGACATTTTTTCCCTCCCCTGTTAAATCCTTTTAATATAATGGTTTAAGAACAAATTTAATGATGTAACCTACAGGGGAATAAACATTTTTAAATCCAATCCATTGAAGTTCAGACCTATAATCTTCACGTACATATGAGAGTTACCACCATTGCAAGCAGGGCTATAATACTGAAAAGATCACTATAATGCTTTTAGCTGGGCACTAAAGGTGAGAGCATTTAGGTTCCAAATTATTTAAGATAAGCAACAGCTTAATGTTTTTATTTCCAGAGATTTGACCTACTTTAGGATTGCTCACAAATAACAGTCAAAAATGATTGTTGATGTCAGTTAGGTTTTGAATTTGCTCCTTTACAATAAATAACTTAGAGCAAACAGCAAGAAAAACAGCTTTTTTACATCCAAGACAGTGTGCTCCAACGGCTATAGCAGAGCACTAAATTAGGACTCCTGGAGTCTATTCCTGACTCACATGACTTGCTATGTGACCTTGGGCAAGTCACGTAACTCGGTTTACTCTATAACAGCATGCTCTTTTATAACTACTATAAAGGCAGCATTTCATTAGATAGATAGATAGATAGATAGATAGATAGATAGATAGAGCAAGCTAATATGTGCTATGCACATTAGGCAGCAGACAAAACAGGCTTTAGAAGTGCCGTTAGAAAAGCCAGTTTGTATTCGCTTTATAGTAGCTATGCAATTTGATTGACAAGTCAATAGCACCAGAATAATACTTTGCATTTAAACAGCCCCTTTCATCTGAGAATTTCAAAATTATTTTAGTGGGGTCACACACACACCGTATAGTATATGCCTGGAAAGCACCACGCACATTTTTACACTATAGAGATAAACATGTTGTTAATTAAATCTCACAACACCCCCATAGTGGGTGGGCTAAGGTGGGTAAACAGGGTTAAGTGACTTGCCCAACAGTCACATAGTGAGTCAGGCATAGGATCCAGGAGTCCTGACAGCCTTTGGTGCAAACTGTGATGTACGTAATGTAACTGTTTATTTGTTTGAAGTTATACATGGTAAAGGAACACATTCAAAACTTCATTGACATATCAAAAGCTATTTTTGACAGTTATTTGTGAACAATCCTAAATTAGGTCCCATTTTCCTGGAAATAAAAAAAGGGTCATTTGATTGGCTAGTGTGCAATAAAATTACTTTAAAAACACACCACTCAAATGAAGAGAAGTGACCTAGTTTAGAATGTATTGTAGGTCCCAAGGCAAGATTTGAAATGCTCTAGCAACGGAATGCTAAGGGCAGCTATACTTCATCTCCATTAATATTGCCGTGCCTGTTCAGCTGAACTCAAGCGTATACAGATCTCAAAAGGTCATGACTCACAGATCCTAAACCAAACTCTAGGGTGGTGGAGGGAATCTGTTAGACCCAAAATCATTTGCAATCTAACTTACAGTGATATTTAGCCATATCACTATCACCATGTGCATACACCAAAAGGAAAAATGGTATTGGGGTTGTGGCACTAGTCTGGGACTCGGATCTGGATTTAGTTCCTTGCTCCACCACAGGCTTCCTGGCACAACCCTGGGAGGGTCACAGTGTCTGTTGTGCCTCAGTTCCGCATCTGTCAAATGTATTTTCTACATCTGACCCTTACTTTGGGACAGGGGACAGCTCCTGTGAGTTTATACAGTGACTAGCACAATGCAGGCCCTATCTCTATTGGGACCTCTAGTTTTATTGCAATATAAGTATTGATGTTCACCTCCAACTTTTGAAAATGTATTACCAACTCAACCACACTAAGATACACAACAGTTGTCCATTCCATTACATTCCTGGAAATCTCAACCCATAAATTTGTAGCCCTTCCATTAATTTTTACTGCAATTAAGATTTCTACATATGTTAAGGTTTAGACTGGGATATTCTAAGGAGTTTAAGGGAATTAGTGGCCCTAAACCTGATTCAAAACACCCAACCTTAGCTGCTATGGACAGGGTATTCTAAGAAGCATTCTTAAATTAGAACAAATCCATCCATGGTGTGAAGTTGATGAATTAGTGAAGCTACACCAGGGATTAATTTTTTTTTCTCATTTAACTGAATTCACAAGTAACCTCTTAAAAAGAGGATAGATGTGATGTGTCGAATACTCCTGTTGGTTCACACAAAGCAATTGCTGAACCACACAAAATTCAAAGCTTCTCTTTGATTTGGATAAGAACAGACACTTACTAGATTTCCAGTATTTCCTCCTTCTGGTGAGTGCAGAAATACAGGGATCATTGCTTCTTTTGGTATTTTGTCACTTCCATTTCTGCTCAGCAGGCACATAGATGCCACTGTGAAAACAGGAGAAAGTTAGTTGAAGTGTTAATCAGACTTTTGAACCTCCATACAACTTTCAACTCAGTTCTGGGCAAAGGTCTGGGGTAGGTTCAAATTTTTTTCTAAACTAGCTCATCTAGCCCCAATCTTAAGAATACTTTCTATTCCTAAAGCAAATGCCAGCCTCAGAATGCCTTAAACATGGGGCCGGGGCAAGGATCTGGAATTATGAATATTAACTATGCATCTGAATTTCAAATGTGATTGCTCCTGGGTAACTCCCACAAGTTAATTCACATCCAGTCTAGCCAGCACATTGTGAATGGACTATTCAACGTAATGGCCCATCAGCTAAAACAATGGGCCATGGGAACAGCTTAACCTCACCTAATGGTCATTCCTGTGAATGTTCTAGCCAAAATATGGGTAATGGCCCCTCTCATGACTCATCAAAACATGCAAGGGCATGTGATACTGGACTCCACCATGTGTCTGTTTTTTTCACAAACTGTGCTGGGTACTTTGCTTGGAAAGTTCCCTCCACAGGGAAAAAACTATAAAAGGGGAAGTGACATCACCACTTGGCCTTACAACTCAACACCTGGAAACACTTTAGGAACAAAGACTGAACTGGGGAAGGGGGTCCTAGGTGGGAAAGACAGAATCCCAGCCTGTGTATGGAAAATTGGTAGACTGTTTGTACCAGCATGGTGAGACACAGGTTATTTCAAATTGTGTCTAGTACTCCTTGGGGAATTCTACACCAAAAAAATCCAGAATTCTGCACCAAAAAATCCAAATGTCTGCTTATTTTATTTGTCAAAATAATGCAATATAATCACACCAGTTTCACTTATTTTGGTAATTTATTTAAACTACCATATAGAAAAAAATTCACAATAAATGTTCAGCATTTCCTAAACACATGAAAGTTAAGTTACAAATTCTGGGTAACCGATACCCTGCATTCCAGTTATAATCCTAGATTTTCATTTAAATTACATTAGTTTTATTTTGATGTTTGCTGTTCTGTAAAGTAGAATATCGCTTTAAATTGCTCAGACTTTCACACATGAAAGTCATACAGTTTTGCTAATCATTGTCCTGCATTTTTTTAATGGATAAGTAAAATAGATCCTGAGCTGTAATCTAACCCCATTGTGCCTCTCTGGCACAGGAGAAAAAGCGAGAAAGCACAAAGACCTTCCTAGCTGAGGATTCCGTTACTGCCATTTACAATAAGGCTCTTTTACACCACTCTGGCAAGGTAAAGGAGCCTTAAATTGGCTAAGCATGGGAACAATTAACTAACAATGGGAACATTAGCAGCCCGCCTGCTTAGTTGTTACATTTCTGCTCTGCCTCAGGGACAGAGCCTGCTTCACACAGCCCTGTGCCTCTAAGCCCGGGATGCAGCAACAGCGAGCGAGTGAGTGGGACATAGTGAGTCTCTCTCACTTGTTCGCATGCAGGCAGGCGCCCAGCCTCACCTCCTTAATGTCTCTCCACACACACACACACACACCACGATGATCTGCTCCCAGCAGACATGCCCAAGGTGATGGGGAAGGGGGGGTGTTCCCCACAGATTTCTTTGCTCCCCCATTTTTCTGCAGGGGAGCCAAGATATCTGTGGAAGGTATTAATTCTGCACCCCCGCAGGGACACAGAATTCCCCCAGGAGTAGTATAGAACTTAAATTTCAACTTTGATCTGTACGCTATTACTTATAATCACTTAAAATCTATCTTTCTGTAGCTAATAAATTTGTTTTATATTTTTTTACTTAAAACAGTATGCTGTTTGAGGTGCAAAAGGAAACTTGCTCAGGAATGGGGGCTGGTGCACTGTTCTCTCCACACTGAGGGAAGGGTGGACTGGAAAATAAACTTACTTACCTTTTGACCAGAGCAAGATGGTAGAGGTCTGGGGTCCGAGGCTGGGGAGCTGGGGTGCGGGGCTGGCTGAAGCCTCTCTATTGTTGGTTTATGAGTGACTGGTTAGAGAAAGCATTCATGTAACTGCAGCTGGGTGTGTCCCTGTTTGTGTATGGCTGTATCAGTGCAAGTCCTGGAGAAGACTGTAGCTTGTCACAGCCTCACAGCTTGAGAGGGGGCCCAGAGGGCTCAGCAGTATCTCAGTTCCAGGTTGCACCCTGGGGCAGTCTCTCACTATGGTGGATCAGCTGTGCTAGACAGGGAGTAGAAACGGTTGAGTCAAGACTCAGCCCATCCCACACCCAACCATATCTAGGTGGCTGGGAAGTAAGCCAACACACAGCTTGCAGCATACTTACACCTACACGCCATGGGCCCAACAAGTCCAAGCAGGAATGCAAGTGGAGTCTCCTTCATCCCCCCCACAGGAGCAATGTAGGCCAAGCCACAGTCCAGCCTTTGATTCCTGTAACAAGGCGTATAATGTTTTCTGTCAGACTAATGACTAAAATTGATCAATGAGATTTAGGGAAATTTGTAGAATTCCCCCACCCTCCAGTTCTAAGGTGTTTTCTCTGAACTGAGTTGCACACATAGATTTTATTCTGTGTGAGTGATTTCGTTTTTAAATTGCTTGTAATAATTATTTCTTGCTATTGTGGTTTCTAAAACTCCTCTATGCTAGATTGGTCTTCAGATTATTTGACTCTTTATAAGTCTTCCAGTTAAACCCTTCACACCGAAATCCTCTCTGTGCATATGTTTCCATTTGTCCAGGTTGGTTTTTTTTGTTTTTGGTTTTTTTTTTTGGTCATGCCTCTTGCATACAGGCACATTTGAAGCTTCCCCTGTGTGGTGGTCTAATTACTTGCTGGAGCTTTCCTGGATTAATTCCTAATTTCTTCCTTAAATCTGTTTCTTCCCCCTAGAGTTTATGGAATCATTCCACAATTAAGTTTTGCTGGCCATGCTTGAAATACACTTCATTTCAGCTGCTTTTTCTTCTCTCTCCAAAGGCCTCTCTACAGGCACCCCAATATACTTGTCCCTTCCACAACACGGATGCCTGTCATTAAACTCTCCCCACATTCTGGGCCAAATTTAAAACCTGATATAACCAAATGCAACTTAATTAAATTGAGCTAATATCAGATCTCTGTTTGCATCCCCCCCACACACACTAGAGTAATTTAAACTCTGTTCAAATGTATCCTGTGCCACACGTTACAAATAAAAGCTCAATTGTTTAAGAACTTCTTTCTACTTAACACTTCCTCCACACCAGCTCAGTCATGTTTCCTGTCTTCTTGCTCACCATTTTCTCCTAACCTTAAATATTTTACCTGCAGTATTTGGGTGCAGTACCATCAAGGTCTTGCTCTTAAACATCCCCCTTAATTCCTCAAAACTCATTTGTAGACCTACTCAATTTACACACAAAAGACACACCACCATATTTTATTGTCTAAAGTGAGAAACTAACAACTGCCACAGCCTGTAATCCATTACTCTCGCACAGCTCTGCCAGTGCAGCTGAGTTCTGCTCTGAAATACCCTTTTGTGTGATTGCCAATAAGAGTCTCCTGGGCCCAGGGTTTACTGCTAAGTATGCTCAACTGTACAGAAATTTTGAAGCATGGGCACTAACTGCTGAAAAACCTATTCATTGGTTCAAGCTGCTTTTCAAGGGATAGCTTGCTTAGCAACAATGGAGAGCTCTTACAGCAACTTCATTGGGAAATTCATTAGGCAACAGTGATTAGTGGTTAGACCAGCACTGCTGTCAGGAGATCTAAATGTCATTTCCCCATTGCCACTGATTCACTCTGACCTTGCGTAAGTCAAATTTCTGGGCCTTCCTGTTCCAAGCTAGAAAAGAGGAATACTACCCACCCTCATTGGCAATTATGAATCACTTTGAGCACCTCAGCTCATTTCAAGTGCAAGGCACACTTCAACCCTGCCTTTGCTAATATAACACAACACAGTATGCACATGTGTTGAATAAAATCCTCTACAGTTTCCCAGTGGAAAGGAGAGGGAAGAAAGAATGAACCGCATAGAATCATAGAATCTTAGGACTGGAAAGGACCTCAAGAACCAGCCCCCTGCACTCAAGGCAGGACTAAGTATTAACTAGACCATCCCTTACAGGTGTTTATCTAACCTGCTCTTAAAAACCTCCAATGATGGAGATTCCACAACCTCCACAGGCAATTTATTCCATTGCTTATATGAGAGCTGCTAATGCTCAAAGTACTTCTGGATGATACTCAGATACCATGGTGATGAGGACTGTATAAGAACCTGAACTGAAGAGATGAAAGGTACTATATCAGTTTTAAGCCTGAACCATCACCACCACAACCAAGGAACAGTTCCCTGTAACATTGCTGTTATGATGTCCTATACTTGCACTCAATGTTCCTCTGGGGCAGACGCTTAATACCTTTAGCTTTTTATGAACCACACTGCTTTAAAAATAAATATTCATTCCTCTTAATGTTCTATTTCCTTTGGGGTCACCTCCTGCTATGGTATGTCCAATCCACACAAAATGCCAGATAGATTTGGTCTGCAGGAGCTCCAAGCTGCATGTACTAACATTTACAACAAATTGCGTCCATATTTCAGTACAAGTTGGTTGATTAATGGTAGTGCAGGCAGAGAGAAAAGACAAAGGAAATAGAGGCTCTCTTTCATTCAATACATTTTACTTTCATGTAATATGCTCAAGGCCCTATTTACAAACTAGCAGCTAATCCCAGACTCTGTGGGATTTCCATCTCAGCTGTATTTAGAAAGATCTGTGCATTAACAACTTCTCTACACTTACAAGCTTACAGCGATACAGCTGTGCTGCTTTAAGAGCGCTTGTGGAGCCGCGTTATGCCGATGGGAGAGAGCTCTCCCGTTGACATAATAAAACCAGCACAACGAGCAGCAGTTGCTATGTCGGTGGAAGACACTCTCTTGCCGACATATCATTGTGCACACGAGCACTTATGCTGGAAAAACGTATGTCGCTCGGGAGGGGAGGAGTGTTTTTTTTCACACCCCTGAGTGACAAAAGTTTTGCCAACATAAGTGCTAATATAGACATGGCCTAAAATGAATCTAGAGTCACATCCCTCTCCTTTCTCAAGCTTTTATTCTGAACTATGGATTACATTTAGATCTACAGTCATGAAGGATATTGGGTCTGATTTTTCCTCACTTCTACAGACATGAATTCACTGGAGTTATACCTGATTCACACAAGTGTGAGAGGAGAAGTCAGTCCCTTAGTCTTAAGTGAATTTACATGAGTTCCTTAGGACAAAGACTATCACAAAACTGTCTAGTAAAGACGGGTAAATTTCTCAGGCAGCCTATTGGTCTGGAAGACCCCAGAACTGACCCATTCTCCAAATGGAAGTCTGCCTAATGCTGCAGGAACTTGTGTTCTGACACTGGGGTTCATCCAAAGGGCAGAGAGAGGTGAACGATACTCTAATTTAAAACCTATTTTGGAATAAATGATGTTGAGAAAAGGCAGGGAGCTGTGGAATGAAATAGCAACAACTGTATTCAAAACAGTACTCTGAAAGCTTTTGTCAAGTTGGGGAATATGAGCCTAACTGAGGATTGCATCCAAACCAACCATGGGGCATATGTGGCAGTGTCTATACAATGGATACTCCAGTTACACTCCACAGTTACACCCAAGCACTGGGCTTTGTAAATGCCTATGCCCCCATATATTCAAGTGTGTGGACACTGGCAGGCTTTAATTCTCGTTTTACTAATAAGGCTCCCTTTCCAAGCATCAGAGTGCATTCTGAACTCCATTATTCTGTGGGAGGGAGAGCAACACACTAGTAGCACAATGCCTTTCCCTAATCATTCTTTCCTGATTCTGACATCATGCACATGCCCCTTAGTAGTGCCAATCCATCACTTGGTCAGTATTGCGCAATGCTGTGAACTCCTCAGAAACATACCACCTTAGTGACACCACCTGGTCTTCCACAGGAAGAGCTCGATGTCTCTCATAGCAGAGAAATATCTGCTATGCTGACCACTAAAAATATTCTGAAGGGAAAAAGAATAAACCTTTCCCATTAAGAGGGCAATCTGAGAGGAAACTTCAGAAACTTCCTCACTAGGCTTTATCCTAACCTGTCTTGCAATTAGCTTTTTTTTTTAAACGACAGGAAATTAATTTTTAGCAGCATAAGATGGGTGATTTAAAACAGTGAATGTTTTAAACACAATTATCCCAATGTTTTCCCAGGTGGTCAAAAATAGACATTTTTCAAGTCTGGTCTTTTAAGATAAAGAAACAGGGAAAACTGAGCCCTATTGTAAGATAGTGTAACTTCAGTGAAGTCAGTAGAAATGCTCTGTTTTACGGCAGGACTGACTGTAACTCACTGTCCCCATCCTATACATTGTGGGAGATCTATGCAGAGAGCGGGAACAGAATACATCTGCCACAATGATGGGAAAAGTGCATTGCTCTTTTTACAAAAGACTAGAACATTGTAAAAATAGCCTGTTAGTAGTTTAGCTTTGTGGAGGTGGAGACAGATTAGACATTTTTCATAACTGACTTAAAATAGCTTAGCATCAGTATTTTAATGGATAAGCAATTGACAAGTTTGTGTCACTAAAAATAGACACATCTGTCAGCAGGTTTGACAGTCTATCAACGTAAAGGGTATGAAGGATATAGCCAAGAAAATGTCTTCATAAACAGAACTCACCAATCTCATGTCATACAACAGTAAACAAGGGACCCACGCAATTTGATTTTCTCAAATTGATTTTCTTCCTCCCTTACAAATCAAAACATCTGTTGACATTGTCTAGTTTTTATTATATAACTTTGTTATTATATAAAGTTCAGCTGACCTACTCACAGGGATGTACTCTGATATTATAGCTGACAGGCACTGAAATGTACAGTAATTCAAGTTATTCCTCTTCCAGAAGAATAAGTATTTGGTGCCAGTGTTGCCCCACTTGGATTTCTGGCAATGGACTTTTTATTGAAATATCCTGTGCCAAGGAGTGCACAGACCTGTAGGGCTGAGATTAATTCAGACACTTTTCCCTGATAACTCATTAAAACTGAAGCTTACACAGGTTTTCTTTACATCAGTTCTTATTCACTATGATTATTAGGCTTACAACTGTCAGTTTCTTGAACTGACAGTTACCACTGTTCATCCGAAGTATCCAGGG